TTATTATTCTATTAGCAAAATTTGTTGTGCATGACTTTTTCAACATTTTGATAGAAAGAGAAAATGCATCTTTTTTTTATTTATTTCTTTATCAATCAAATAATTATTTTTATACAATTGAGTTTTGCTAGATTTATTTATTCAATGACATATATTCTTCACATCAACGAGGCATATATACATAAATAAAATGATAATTTTCAAATGAAGAACAGGTTTGTTAACCTTTCATTATCATCAAACTACTATTTTCATATAGAAAAAAAAACAAAGGTTATTTTATAAATAATTTATTCAAAGAAAGAAAAGAAAAACAGAGAGAATAAACATAATTAAACATCAACATGTTTTTCACATTGATTTCCAGTAAATTTATTTCGACATAAACATGCAATTTTATTTCCTCGTGCTACACATGTACCACCATTAGTACATGGATTCGGAAAACAAGGATGAACACCTAAAACAAATTAAAAACAAAACAATAAAGAAATAAATTCTCTTCTTAATATTTCTTTTTTTTTTTTGATCTTACGAGTTTCACAAAAAACGCCTGTATATATTTGATTACAATGACATTGAGCATAACCATCAAAACCCATATAACATGTACCATAATTTCGACAAAGTGTGTCATTACATTTACGTAAATCATATTGACACATACGTCCAGTAAATCCAGGTAAACATTGACAACGATAATCATGTACAAGATCAATACATGTACCATTATTCATACATGAATCCATTCGACAATCATCAATATCTTTAATAATAAAAAAAACAAAAAATAGTTAATTAGTTCAATTATTATTATCTCTATAATTATCTTACTTATTTCACAATATTTTCCAGTAAAACCTTTTGCGCACTGACATGTATATGATGCAATACCATCAATACATGTCGAACCATGTTGACATGAGTGACTTGCACAGTCATTCCATTCTAAAGATTAATAAGAAAAATAAATGTTATTTGAATAATTTGCAAGAGAAAAAAAAAAGACTCACTTAAATCACATCGTTGTCCTTCAAAATCAATTGGACAAATACATTTAAATGATGTAGCTGTATTAACGCAAACACCTCCGTTAAAGCATTGAGGTGATGAACAACTTTTTTCCACTAATAGATTTTACAAAATAAATTACTAATGTAAACTAAAAGAAAAAAAAAGAAAAATTCAAATTCAAATACTTCTTTCACATCGATGACCCATAAAATTATCTGAACATTGACAACGATAGGATTCTCCATCATCATGACATGTTCCATTATTAAGCTAGAATTTATAGCAAAAGAAAACATTCTATTAAAAATATCTTATACAAAAAGATTACTTACACATGGATTGTATTTGGCACAATAACTGCTTACTAAAGAAAAATAAAAACTTCAATTACTAAATTATATATTTCGATTAGTGTTGTATGTAAACAGTTTTAATCTCGGTGACTGATCAGCCAATTCGGTCTAGCTGGTCTCATCTCTGGGCAAAATTAATCAAAATACGAGTATTTAAGATTTAATGTGAATCAATTCTGAAATAGTTTTCTCTAAATAGAAACCGGGACTAAAAAAAAACTTAGCCTTACATATCTTTAATTTTGATATAAAATGTGTCTATCTGATAAAATAAATAGACAAAAAGAAAAATACTTTTAAATATTAATAAAGATTATAGTTGAAAAAGAAACATACTGAAATTGACATTTCAATGATTACAGATTTAAAATAGAAATAAAGTTGATTTGTTTCGTTAAGCTATTCTATATAGAATTTTTCGATCGTAAAATAATTGATCCTTGCTGAATGACAAAGTCTTATTAAAAATAAAGTAACATAAACTATATGTCATTTAATTTCATTTTTTTTAAAGCTATTTCTAAATGTTAATTCTGTTACTGCTATTAATCTTGTCTCTCAAAATTATATTATCATGACGTGTTATTTTCAAATGGATCACGTATCAATATTTAACAATAATTTGAGATCCTTTTGTATTAAATTGTTTTTTTGGTCACTATCATTCATAAATGTATCCGACAACTACTACATCAAATCGGAAAAATAAAACTTAAAAATGTCAAAGATCATTCTGACTCTTTCATTGATATATCACTTCTATTTTCATAAAAAACAAAACATATTTTAGTTACAAAGAAGTAAGAATATCATTATATGTCGCAAAATTTGTATAAAATATATCTCATCTACCTTGATCACATCGACGACCTGACCATCCAGTACGACATTTACATTGAAAACCACCACGCTCATTTGAAATACAACGACCATTTCGACAAGGATTATGTGGTGCACATGGATCCATTCGAGCTAGAAGAAAAATTTCAATAAAAAAAAAAAATTTCATAACAAAAAACAAAATATAATTTCTAACCTTCATCACAACTTTTTGCAGCAATAACACGATTTTGACATAAACATACATATTTATCATCAGGCATTGGAATACAAACACCATCAAGTCCACATGGTTCTCCAGCACATGGAGATGATTCAGAATCTAAAATAATCTTATTTATCATAAATCAGAAACATTTTTTTTTAACCATCTTCAGCATTATCAACTGCTGCTTCTTTTAATAATAATGGAAGAAGTTCTTCTGGAACCAAACCAGTTACTAAATCACATATGTATATTAACATTAAATTTTCGAAAAACAAAACTATTTCATACATGTTTCACAATTTATTCCTGTATAACCATATGGACATTCACATCCATACGAACCATAATTCATTATACATCGACCACCATTCTTACAACTACATCCAACTTGATAAGCTAGAATAAAAAAAAATAATATAAATTCAAATAATTCTTTTTATATATTTACATCTTGTACAATCATCTTGCCATGGTGCACAAATACAATTAAAACCTTCTTTTGTATCAAGACATATTGTTCCATCTTGACATGGATTTTTTGAACAATCTTCAAATCCTAAATAAACAAAACAAAATTTATCCATAAAAAAAAAGAACAAAAAATTTCATATATATTTGTTTATATTTAACCTCGTATTGAATCTAGATCACCTCCATTACACATATCTGATGAACACATACACCAATAAGTTTGCATATATGTTATACATCCATCAGCAAGTAATTCTCGTGCCCATTGTTGAGTTGTACATTGTCGTTCGTTAACTAAATTTTTCAATATAAATAAAATTTTATTTAATAATTATAAAGATATAAAAGACAAACTAGTTGCATTAGCATGTTTTGCTTTGATATAACAACGTTGTGTCCAATGACAAGGTGTCATACATTCATCATTTGCATCTTTACATGCATAACAATGTTTATCTTCATCAGAAACAAATAATTCTAAAAATTTTATATTTAAATATTTCGGTTTTTTTTGTTTTTCTTTTAATTATTTCTTTAATACCAGATGGATGATTTGTTTTTTTCTTTGTCACTGGTGTTGATAAAATTATATGAATAAAGAAAATAATAATAAAAAATTGGAAGATCTCGAGAAAAAAAACATGTAAAATAATAAAGCATATAAAAGAATATTTATAAAAACGAACAACCTTACCATCATTTATACATTGAGATTTTATCTTTCGTTTTCTATCCTTGTTTTACGAACCTGATTATGCGTTTATATGTGTGTGTGATTATATTTCTGTATAACCAAACGTTTTCATTGAACAAACAAAAAATGTGCGTACCTATTGTATTATATGACATTTTTACTAAACACTCTCTTATTTGTATACAACACCTAGATTAGAACACGATGAGATTAAATAACACCATTATTCATTCTCTATCGTATTGTTGTACCGAAGTGAGAATGAGACAACATACTACAACTACTCATTCAGCCAGACAGTTGAAACCTCTCAATTTCATTATTACTCAACATTTTTTTCTTTTTTAGCAGAAGAAAAATAAAATAAAATGATTGAAAAAAAAAAAAATTGTTTTTTTTTTTTTTTTTTTATTTACATTCAAAAAAACAAAGAAACTAAAAATCTATGTTTTGTATTAGTTTTTTCTTTTGTTCTTTTGTATTTCAACAATTGTCAACAAGTTCTTATGACAAGATAACTAATATAGATTTTGGAAAAAAAATTATTAAGTTTTCTTTGATTGATATTTGCCGCCTTTCACAATCTGTACAAGATGGAACAAAAATGATATATCTAACTCGTCTGCTATTTGTACTGTCGTTTTTCTTTCTCTCTTTGTATTCTATCTTGAGAACGAACGAATACTCAGTTATATTTATGATCTATAGTCTCATCATCTAAACGGATTGGTTACTGATATATTTATATGATGGAAAATATATATATATCACTTATATACGATATAGCAAAAAAAAAAAAAGGGGAAAAAAAGCCAATCATAAAACGATGCGAAATTAGTATTGTAGATGAGAGAGAATAACTTCTATACAATAGACAGAATAAATGATCATTTGAATGATGATCAAAGTTACTGGATATATATCTATATGTATATGTAAGAATGATTATGGTGAGAATATTGAGTGTCATTTGCACAAGTTCTTCTTTTTTTTCTTTTTTGATATAGTGCAAAACAAAAAATTATATTCAAAAACAAATATTATTATATTAATTGAGAAATAGATTTTGAATAAGTAGAATTCATTTGTCAAAAAAATCGCCACAATTGAATCTTACTCAATTATATATCCTTCTAAATCGATTAATCTTTTCGTAGCATCTTAATAATAGTTTTCTTTCATATTCCTTCTACAAATATTAATTATTGAAAGATTTCATATAAATAATTAAATATTTATCACTAAAAATAAATCTATTACATTTATTTCTTAATAAATTCATGATTTTTATGATATCCCATAGGCTTATTGCCCGTTAGGGCCAACCACTGTACGGATTAGTTTCTTCTATATCCGTATTTCTTAATAAAAATTTTCTTTTTTTGTAGCAAATAATTTCCTTTTTAATTTAATAAAATAAATGGATTTACCATATCATAATTCATATCACTATAATCATGAATGGCCAATGTCTTCAACATCTGATCGTTGTCCATTATATACATCACAAAATCATTCAACAACTTGTTATAATATAAATACTTCTTGTCCTCCTCCTACTCATTCTTCATCATCTTCATATTATGATTATTATACTCCATCAAATTGTTGTCCATCAACATCTAATACTTATTCAACTCATTATAATACTTATTCATCATTTAATCAACATAATACAAATCAAATTGGTCCTTCATCTCATACAAATAGTATTTCAACTACATCTGAGTAAGAAAACTTTGATATTTTATTTTTTATGTCTTTTTATTTTCTATTGATTATAAATTAAGATTGACAAAAACAAATAATGAAAAAATATCGACTAGTATAATTTATCCTTGGATGAAAAAATTACATGTTAAAAATCTTGTTCAAAATACTGATGGTACAGAAACATATAAACGTATTCGTACAGCATATACACGTAGTCAAATTCTTGAACTTGAAAAAGAATTTCATTTTAAAAAATATTTAAATCGTCGACGACGTATTGAAATAGCACGAACATTAATGTTAACAGAACGACAAGTTAAAGTAAATTTTATATTAAAAATTTTTTATATCTATGGTTTTTTTCTTTTTGTATGTAAAGATTTGGTTTCAAAATCGACGTATGAAATGGAAGAAAGATCATAATTTACCAAATACAAAATCAAAATTAATTGAAACAGCAATAAAACAAGAACTTAATGATTAAAAAAAAAATAATTTTTTTCCTCTTTTCATTTATATTTGACTTTCTTTTCTTTTCTTTTTTGTCTATCTATGATCTGGATTGTTCATTAAATATGTACACATTTTAAACATATGTAAACAACACGCACAATGTTACTTGTTCTGTTCGATCATTTGTCGTATAAAAAAAACAAGGAAACAGATATCATTGACACAGAAGCGGAAAACGAGAGAGAGAGAGAGAAAACGAACGCGACGTGATCTCAATTGATAAATCGATACACATCTGCTATGATCACAGTTCAAATTGAGAAGAGAGAGAGATCAGTGTTTTGATTAATGAGGTTTTATTCGACCTTTTCAGATTAAAAAAAAACAACAAACGAGTGTGGATACTTTTTGATCAATAAAAAAAGATAATTTATCATTAAATATCATTTGAGATGATTTTTTTTTTGTATGAATCAAGACAATCATATGTATATAGATAGATCATGATTAAGTGAAAATGATTGTCCATTAGTGTATTACTTGTAATAGAAGTTTTTATATGTCAATAATCATCGTTTGCTAATAGATATGAATAATTCTAGTTGCTTCGTTCAAAGTATTTTTCTTAAAGTCCGAGATAAAGTACTGAGTTTAGGATACTCATGAATTGGAAAAGTCCTCCAGCCAAGTACTCGATATGGATACTTTGAAAATTCTCAGTAGTTATTCTGATTCAGATATTTTCTCAGATACTCATATTAGTATGTATGTTGAGCTAGTACTTATATGGATACCTACATAGATAAATTTATTGAAGAAAATTCAGCAGAGTATCGTACTTTTCTGTGTATGACGCATTGCATAAAAGAAAACATATTAATGTACTCTAGAAAAAACTGAATTGTGTGAATTTAAAGCTACTTAGGAAAGTTCACATTAGGTTTGGCGTGAATTCTTTTTGTTTATTATTTTAAATGACAATTAAACAAACCGAAGTAATAGATCGTATATGATACTTTTTTCGAAGCAGAGAGCGCCATGTATCAACAGAAAATAAACAACTGACGAGTTTATTGGTTTTTTGCATTAGAAAAAGCGATAGAATTTTAAGAATTTGTAAATGGAAATTAATATAGCTATATTGTACAAGAAAATAAAGTAATTAATCACCTTTTCCTTGACAATAATATTTATTTGTAATGATTGTTATTTGAATTGAAACTAAATAGCGAAATCGAAGAGATAATTATTAGTTTTAATTTCTTATTGCCTGATCAATTGAGCATATCGAATTCTATTTTGTATTATGAAAATTCATTTTCTAGATACTCTTGTATTTTTCTTTTTTAGAAAAACTGCTAAATGTAGTAGTGAAGATATGTTCATTAGTGAAATGAACGTCTTTATGATAAATTTCATTATTGATTAATGTTCAATCATTTTTATATATTTTATTTCGAACTAATAGTGTAACTTCAGAACAACCAAACAATACTACTAATGCTTCATGGTCAAATGAAGGGAATGATGCTGATTTCAATGAATTATTTCGTGTAAATGATGTTAACTATTAATGTAAAATTTATACGGATAAATTGTTATCGAAATGCGATACTTGTGAAATAATTATTGAATTTTTGTAATTTTCATTATCTTGTCTGTTAAACATCGATTGTAAATTTTTGGTTTCGTATTCATCATTAGATTTATTCAACTGTGTGATACGATAAGTGTCATTTTTTTTCTATTTTCAGAAATACATTAAATCTTTTTTCATTTTATGTAATATTGATACCTCAAAATCACAACTTCTGTACTGCTACCACCTCATTAATTATTTTTGCATTAACCTCCAACAAAAATTAAAGTAAAATAAATGATTTTCAATGAAAGAAAGTTAGAAGTAAGGTTCGATCTCGAACATACTGAAATTTTTCCAATGGGGTACCCAGAAGTATTGAACATTAGTACTCGAGTGAGTATTTGAGCAATACCTTCAACTACTTGTTTACTGGAGACTTTTGCAGCAGGGTATTCGCCGAAGTACCAAGCAAGTACCTAAACCTACTTTAAAGTACTTCAAAGTATTCGAATAAATTCGCTGTAATTTGGTTATCTTTCACCAATAATAAATGAGTCGCATTTTCAAGTAGGGATAGGTAAAGTCAGAATTTAAGTGAATTTTCTTTTATTGAAAACAAATCATCGAAAGATTTGTTTCTGTGATCCATATGAAAGTTTAACTGTTGTTTGTTACGTATATACAGTAGCTCCGAAAAATTGATCATTTAGATTTAATTTTGATGTTTTTGCGTAATGGTTATAACCATACAGAATCCAAAGAGTGATTTAAATAGAGATATTCGTGTCTTTTAATTAAACAAGATGATAGCGCAACTAATTTTCTTGATAATTAGGTGTTTTTGAGCTGTCCATGGCATTTTTTGACTGAACTATGCTAATTTTAAGAAAAGTTCAAGAGTGATTTTTCCGTCATATTCTATAGAGGAAAAAGGAACAAAAACGACGCTTGCACTTTTCTTAAAACTGATATAGTTCAGTGAAAAAGCGTCATAGAGAGCTAGGAGAAATCTCATTTTTACGAGAATTAGTTGTTTTATCATCCCGTATAATTAAAAGAAACTTTTATTTTAAGGTTCTGATTGCTGAAAAACTAGGGTTTGAATTTTACCATTACAGAAAAACATCGACATTAAATCTGTATGGTCAATTTTTGGAGCTGCTGTACCTAGACACATATACATTTTTAGACTTGACTTAATCTGTCCATTTCTGTTTTTAACATAAACATTCAAATATACTATTTTAAAGAATGATTATTGATTTTAATAAAGAACCATAATCGTTTGTGAGTTATGAGTAAACAATAAATCTATTCTTGTGAGACAAAAAATAATCGATAAAATGAGTTTCTTTTCGATTAATTTTGCATACTATTGTCGTATAATTATCATATAGTTCAATAAGCATCCTTCAATGTTTTTTTCTTTTCAATATGAGCTGTAACTTCTTCGTTATTGATAAAAAAAAGAATCAAATTATGATACAGAAATTCATTCTTATATTCTTTTGGAAATTTGAATTCCGATTTATTCTATACAATCAATTGTAGTTTTTAACAATAAACCTACTCAATGTATGTAATAATATAAGATAGAAATAAACTCGTATTGTTCGTCATAAAATTCACTTTGAGATCTATACAATAATGAAACTGAAGCAGAACATAAAAACTTCATTTCTGACGCACTTGTGAAACTGTTAATTATACAGTGAGTCTTGTTTTTTAATCCGCAAGAATGTCCTGAAACATGATTTAGTCAATATTTCGTATTCAACAGAAAGTATTTCGAGCTATTCATTTTCACTTATGAATGATAAAATTTTTTAATTGTCTATTTATTTGATAAATAGATCTAATTATTCTGATAAGATTTTTTTCCCAGTTAAAAGTTATCAAAAATAAAACTATATTTAATTCAAAAAAAATTCAAAAAAAATATGACAAGTTTTTAACAAATTTTTTTATTACATATTATCATTGAGGTTTTTTACAAAAAAAAAAAAAAACAAATTCAATCTATAAGATTGATTTACATATATGTATCACCTTTCAGGTTTAATTCTTTCAATCATCAAAAAATAAAAATCAACTAGGATAACAAAAACTATAAAAAGACTAAAAAATAATAATTTATATTACGAATAATTATCTATACTATTAATAATTATTAAAAGCTATATTTTCTTCTATAAGAGAACAAAGTATATCTTTAGTTATTGGACGTTCTATTGCTGTAGTTACTCCTAAATAAATAAATAAATAAATATGATCATTATTTTAAAGAAAAAATTAATAAATTTACCATCGGCTGTTGCTGAATAAATAAAAAGAAGAAAAAAAATTTACAATCATTATAATGAAAAATAATTTTCAATTAATAAAACATACCTTTTGCATTAGGATACATTTTATCGACACGATGTCGATAAAAATACCATTCACCATTATGGTATAAACATTCGATAATTTGATTTTTATATTGGTCTAATTCTGGTGAGTAATGCATTGATGCATATGGATTTGACATGCCAGTTACATATAGAAGAGCACTTTTTTCTTGTGATCGCCTACAAAACAAAAAGGTAATTATTTTTCTAAATGACATAATTATAATTTTTTTCTTCTTTTATTTCTTATAATATTATTTTGAGGAGTTTTAACTATGTTTTAATATGGAATTAATTTCATATTCTTTTTTTTCTTGAATGCCATTTTTTTTCATTGCTAGTAATAGTATCTTGTCTTTAGTCGATTGATCGAAGAAAAGATGTAAACTCTTTCAAGCATTCAGATCATGATAATGATTTTTTTATAATTTGATTTAGAAAATAGATTAGATTGAAAATATTTATTGGCATTCGTCTGGAATGATAGAAATTTCGATTATTTTTCTAATAAAGATCCTACAAGTGATTTCAAGATTTTGAGGTCTATTAAATCTCAATAAAAAGATGGAATCTTTTAGAGGTTGTACTAGTCTAATTGTCCTCTACTAATGAGTAAAACATAGGCCTAGGATCGTTCTATATTAGTTCTGATCTTGAGAACTGTTCACACAGATAGGATTGACTCAGTTCCACAAAAAGCACGAGCTGATTCCATTTTTGACAGTTCTCATCTGAACTTATGAGTTTCAGTTGTCACAGATTTAAAAAGGGACTAGTTCTCAAAAAAGAACAGGTTCATAGAACTGGGAGCTATCATTGGAGGTCTAATAAAATGTGCAAATCTTGAAATTATTTGTACAATCTTTCCTAGAAAAACGCTCGGAACTTCCGCCGTTTCAGTTGAATAGCAGTAAAATTTTTGCAATCAGATCTCTCACCTAACTAACACGTCGAAAGTTGATAACAAAAAAGTCTTTTTTTCAGAAAAGTGATTTTGATACTCATGGATTTATCTGTATCGTTTCAGTTTTTCAAAAAATATATTCTTGAATAGTATTTACTGATGATAGATTATTGTATATATCATTCATTACATTCTCTAGTTCACATTGTGACTATGACAACCAGTCAATGATGACGTGGGAACGTTATTAAGTTAGTATGAATTATTATCAAACAGAAACAAAAAAAGAATTTAATGTCGTAAATTGAACTAGAGAATGTAGTTAATGAAACATACAATGAGCTGTATCTTCTTCGGATACAGTCATAAGAATTTTTCTTCTTTATCTTCTCATATGCATATATATATCTGTATAACCAAGGAAGAAAAAATATACGTCTGTAATTTCTTCATATATTTCCAAATAAGTTTTTTATCTAGTATGAAGGTTAGGAGAATGACGCCCCTCAAGAGATCGAGTTTGCCGTTCCAAGATTCGAAATTGTTATGCTATATATTATATGTTTGTACCCTCGAGAGTAGATGTTCACCCTTCTGAAGTATATCTACATACTCCTGTAATTGTTTTCTTAATTATCTTTTGTACAACAACTATTTCTGATCTTACAGAAAATACTTCATTTTTCTATACATTCCTTAATGTTTCATAGTACTTTTGTATATTACGAAAGTACCTTGAAACATGATTTCTATATTTGATATCAAAATATGATTTTGTAATCATTTTATTGTTGATAATATAGTTTCTATTGTTTATTTCAATATTTTACTTCTGTCATAACAAACAAATATTTACGTACCCTGTTTTATGTATTTTCAATCGAAAATCAATTGTATTATGTTCTTTCCATTTGAATACATGTATAGATCGTCCAGATTGATAAGGCTATAGAAAATATAAAAATTCATATGTAATTTTTAAAAAAAAAATTAAGTAAATTTCAATTTACATCAGATATAGGTTGAAATACAAGTCCATCACAACCATGAGTAATTTGTGATTGGAATGTTGGACTGAGTAACTAAAATGAAAATATTATATATAAATAATTTTCTCATATTAATTATTTGCTCTTATTTAAATTAAATAAATTCATTCGTATTTTTCTTACTTTAGATGTTGCTGATAAGTCCCAAAATTCTTTATTTCTTATTGAAAATGGTTCTAAACTTTTGTTAATAAGACCTTTTATTATAGCTTCATTTCTGATATTAACAATAGAATGACGTATTATATCAAGACGTTCTTTAAATGTTCGTTGACCAACATTTTCATTCTAAATATAACAAGAATTATTTTTTTTTATCAAAATTAATATAATTCTATTTAATATACTTCATATATTATAATATCATAAATTAAATATCGATATCTTTTAATTCCATTATCATTATCAATAACAAATTCCTAAAAATAATAACAAAAAAAAAAAACCATCGAATAAATTTATTCATGATCAAAAGTTTAAGATAACATACACCATCAACCAATGTATTTATTAAATGTCTTGTACAATCTGAATCTTTTGGAAAGTATAGATGATTAATTTGAAATACATTGTTATTACGATCTAACATATAAATTTTATTTTCACTTTCAATTAACATCATATATCTATAAGAAAAATATTTAAAATAAATAAAAGCTGTTAGCGCAATCCTTGCTGAATTAAAATATGAAACACGATGTAATTGTTGTTATTAATCACAAAGAAATTGTTTTATTCAATCTATTTTATGATACATTTCTTCACCATTCTTTTTGTTTAATCTTTTACAAATGCAATAAGGAAGTAGTAACAAGACGTTATTGATATACGATCAAAGATCGTATATCAACCCCTGTGATGAACCGTTTCTAACGTATCTGTGACTTTTTGTCGATTCCATCTATCATGGTCTGTGGAAGGGGAACGTGCAAATTTCTATTCTCCTTTTAGATCGTGTTTCACAAAAAAAAGCTATATGTTTTTTTATTTTTATTCTACCTGGTGCCATCTGCTTTCCAGCTAACCATATAAGGTGATAGAAATATAGGTTGACAATTTGTATAGTCCATGGATACAGGTTGTGAACCTGGAAAAGTTGGTCTTCAAGAAAATAAATTAAAAGTAAAATAAAAAAATGTTTTTTTTTGTTTTTCTAAAGTTACCGATTCCATCCACACATTTGTTGACATTTCAATCGAATATTATCAGCAATCGATTGAAAACAAATAGGTTTAACATTAAGAAGATCCACAGCAAATACAGGATTAGAATTCTAAAATAATCTCATTAATGATGAATACTTTCTTAAAGAATAAATCTTACTTCTTGTATTTCTTGTCGAAATCGTTTATTCGATTGTTGATAATCTATTTCATTGTATTTATGTTTATTTTTGTTTAATGTAATAACTTGTTTTTCTGAAAATAAATTATAATAAAATTGAAAAAAAGAAATTAATATAAAATTGATTTTAGTTTTTTTTTTTCTTTACCTAAACACCATTCAGGTCGTAATGGTGCAGAAATTGAAATACAGTTTTTCGTTGGAAATTTTTCAATAAGTTTATCTAAATAATCTTGTTTATAAATTCCTGGTGATCGAACTGTTGCAAACATATCGATAGCAACATCAATACTTGAAAATGAAAAATCAATTTCATTTAAAAATAAACTATATCTTAATATCTTCATGCCTATAATTAAGTTGTCGGCATAGATATGCACAAACAAGAAAACCAGTCCGATTGAAACCATGTGTACAGTGAATGCCTATAAGAAAAATTTACATAAAGAATATATAAAATTAATCATACCTATAATATCATTTGGATTCGCATTTATAAAATCTTGACAAATTTGAATAAAAGAATCAATTTGTTCGTCATTTGGTGGTTCATTATGTCTATAAAAATTATAATCAGAAATTAAAAACAAAAAAAGAAAACTTGGAGTTTCTTTATACTATACAGAGTTAATTAAATCTAAATTTTCGATTACTATCTTAATTCGGTGGATTCTAATATTCATTCATTCGTTTTTTTCTCCTAATTCTTTCAAGTCAAGATTGAGATCTATTCATTAGTTTCGATCTTCCACCTCATGTAGCACTTCGGTCTATTCAACCCAGAAGTGTTCATGGCGGCACTGCTGCACGAGAGATGTTTCAAAAATACTATCGCGCCAGCAGAAGAGTCCTAGTCATAATAGACATTTCTGATTCAAACCGTACACGTTTGTGACAGAATTTCTCAATGACTTTGTGCCAACTGCTTTACGAACGTCCGACTGGGTTTTTTCCCACAGACCTGACTTCAAGCAGTTGGTAAGAAAATCTTTCATATAGTATTCTTAAGACATGTTCTGACCATTGTATTTATGATCGCTCGATTTGTAGAGATTCTTTTATGTCCAAGCTATGAATTTTACCTTTGAGTGTCCGGTCAGCTACTCTCTGCAAAGGGATTCTAATATTTGTTTGATTATTATAAAAATTTTGAAAATTTTTCTGTTTATGATTCAAACTGATCTGATTTAGTTTATTCTACGAGAGAAGTATAATTAAAATGATGTTCTATATTTATTATTTTCTTAATAGAATATGTATAGAAGATTATTCTTACCCTTGACATGGAATTTTTTCATAATGTATATTTTTTTGAATAAATTCAATATCACTACTATAATATCGTTCTGTATTTGTTAAATCAATAACAAGACCAAGATTTTTCTATATATATATAAATAAATATTATATTTCAATAAAATAAAAAATAAAAAATAAAATTATACTTGATCATCTTTCATATGTTTAATTAACATATTACACGTCCATCGTTTGACAATAGAAATTTCATTTTTATAACGATCATCTAATGGTGTTTTAAATGCAATAAATTTTCCTACATATAAAAAGTAAAAAATGATTACTAATAAATTAATTTAATAATATTTACCAGCAATAATTGTTGATTTTCTTGGACAATCAAGCCAATTCGATGGTATTCCTGTTGGATTATATGTTTGTATACTTGATGAGAAAGTATTTGTATTAGACATCTAGAATAAAAAAAAAACAGAAAAGTTTGTAAGAATGACGAAAAAAAGAAAGACAAATTTTGAAAGTGCGATGTAATATATACATGTATGTTTTAATACACTGGGTTTTTTCCTAGCTATTACCAGAAATTATGCAAGATGTGTGGGAATTAAATCTTTATATGTATTGGTTAATAGTTTTCATGGCTGTCAAACCTTTGCCTCTAAATTGATTTGAAACAGAACCATAAAATCTTTTTTGAAATATTTTCCATGAAATAATGATAATTGTTTTTCATAGAAAGTCAATTATGATTATTTTCAATTTTGCTCTCTTAGAATATCTTCATGTAAAAATAGAAACATTTGAATATAAGACACTTTGACTGTTCTACATATTTGATATCGTTCTCCTTTATTTCTTTACGTCATTGATTGTCTTGTTTCGTTTATCGTTCTTCTTTATGTAGACTTGATGACACTATATTTTTGTTTTGTACGATGGCCTCGCTCTTATTTTGGTGTTTTTTTCTTCGTACTGTATTTTTACGCTATAAATTTGCTTGTTTCATCCTTAATCATACGAAATTTCAACAATGTCATCGTCTGAAAACACTGATCGTCA